CATTGGTGAATGCCACAAATTCTCCTAAATCACTCGTACGCACAACTTAAGAACAAATCTGTGCGTACGAACGGTTCTTGCATGAGGCCCACTGTGTTCACAGAGCTTTATACTCTGATTTACTGACCTTCTGGGTGACTGTTTCCACTGAGACTGTAGTGTTCCCACAATTCTTTGTGCGGCAGGAAGCAGTTGAAGCTTCTTCACTGGGTGAAAATCCACCTGCGGTTCTGATCTGCAGAAACACACTCAGCTGTGCAGTTTGAACCTCCTCTTCAAGGGACACCGCGACATTAAATGTTAAATAAATAATAGTAAATAAAGAAACATGGAACAGTTTAAATTCACGCTCTTATTTTGAAAAGGATGAGGTTCCTGTTCTGTGTCCTGTAGCCTACCCAGAATGCATCGTTTCATCTTTACAATAAACTGTTTAAAATTACTAATATCTGCAAGTTTTCTTACTGAAGCTCTGCCATAAACATAAAATGACCAAGAAGCAGCAGAACTAGCAATCCACAACAATTTTTTGTTTTACAACCATGATGTAAAAGTCTGTTTCTATGAATCACCTCCCCATTCTGCGCCGATAAGTGCCAATCTGTCAAAGAAAATGATCTTATTACTGACTTTTCTCTTACCTAAATGTTTTCTGGTAAACAGAGATTATGTTGTGCTTTAAATTAGCTTCCGCTAAGTTTCATTGAGCATGTGTGCTTTTGAACTTGCGGACCTAAATAAATTGACTAGTGCTTTAGAAATTGTGCAACTAAAATTTGGATTAGTGCTGTCCACCACTGGGTGGACCGTACTGGTATAGTGCTTTTGTATTCAACCAGGATACGTGAGATAAGCTCTTTACACTATAATCTGTGTCCTCATTTATTCATTCACACACACATGCACACAGCACTCTGCTAGATCTCTACAAAGCTAATACAGGTGAGTCAGGAAAAATGATACTTCCAGAAAAATCGCCATAAAATTAACATGGATAATAATTTTGAAAGTGTGGATGTAACCTTTGGAAGAGGGGGTCATTCTGCTTCACGCTCCAGTGAGCAGGGACGGTTGGAAATTCACAAAATTCATGTCCTTTGTGCAAGGAAATGTGAGGGTTAAAATACGATCTGTCACATAAAATTAAAAGTTTAGATGTGTTTTACACATATGCCAAGGCATTTTGAAATAATTAACCCTTTCATGTCCTAACGTTAAAACGAAAATATCCCGTTTTTGAGTGGATCATAACCAAGGGTTAACAAACACATGTGAAGTGGCCGTGGACAAGTCAATCCATCCAGCTAACATTACATGTAATGTACATGTACAGTGTCCTACCGTTTCTGACACTCCCTCTTCAGCACATCTTCACGTTTTATGCTGATTACAACTTTTTGTCAGAGCGGTGGAAGAGGTTTGTCTCCTTTAGGGCTGTGTATTGGCAAGAATTTGGTGATACGATACATATCATGACAAAGGGGTCACGATACGATATATCCTGATATATTGCGATACTGTAAGCAAGGCGATATATTGTGATTTTTTTGTCCAAAAATTCTATCAAATAAAAACCTCTTACTGGGAAAAAAAAAAGAAAAGCTAATGTTTACTTACAATGCTAATGCTACCCGTAAGGGCTCGACACACGGGAGGAGACGTCGCTCGCTCTCCATTC